CCAAATCTAAGAAAAAAAATTTGCCTTTTAGTTATACTTTAAACTTTTACTTTGAGTTTGGTAAGTTTAGTACCAGGTGACCCAGACAGTTCACCTTTCTAACCTTTGGATGAATTATGCAGTCAGTGTACTATAACTGCTTACGCTGCTGTTTTTCATTTGGTAGGTTTCCATAATTAATGGATCCAGCCTGTACGCAAGCTCATATGACCTCACAAACATCATATCGTCCTATCAGGAGAGGAACGGTAAGTCCAGAAAAATTCCTTGCTGACAAAGCAGAGAAGTGTAAGAACTCCTGTCAGTTTTTATTCTCCTTCACTTCCTGTCCCTTTTTGACTGGCTGTGTATGTATGAGAGTCATTGTTTGGTGAGCTGTGTTTTCTGTCATTCCAGTCACCACAGTCCTGAACAACCCGAGTCCAATATGGCTTGTTGGAAGAGGTGCATCAGATCCATTTGTGGTCAATGCGGTTATCCGATACCCCGTGGAGACCATTACATATCCTTTTAACATATTATAATGATACACTGAGCACTTAGATGCCAGACTAGCATTGTGTTAATATCTAGTGTATGCTCTATGTGTGCCGTGTATGTATGATTCCATTGTTGATAGAAAGCACAATGAGTAGCGATCTTTAAGTTAGCAGACATCGGTGACTATGATCAATGACCAGCATTGTGAGTTCCCTGATGATTTATCATAACTGTTACTGCCACTGACTGCTCAGCTATGACAACGGAGACGAGCCAACTCGTGATCAGTACTTTACCTATGACCATTTTAAAGCAAATCCTATACACCATGTGACATAGTTACATAGTTAGTCAGGTTGAAAGAAAACACAAGTCCATCGAGTTCAACCTATAGAGATACGGAGAAAAAAAACGAAGAAAAGCCAAATGTTTATGGACATGTGACCATTACACCTACCTATAAGGCAATACATTATATGGACTCCCCACCAAATTATTGGGCTCGGGTGTTTCCAATGAGGGCAAATGTTAATGCTACAGCATATCAAAACAATTTTAAACAATTGTGTACTTCCAACTTTGTGGCAACAGTTTTGAGAACCATTACTGAGCCCCTTGTGCACAGAGCCAGCTCAATATTGACATGGTTTTGCCAGTTTGATGTGGAGGAATCTGAGTGGCCTGCACAGACCCCGGACCTCAACTCTACTGAATACCTTTGCAGTGAATTGGAATGCAGATTGTGAGCCAAGTCTTCTCATCCAACACCAGTCCTTGATTCCACAAATGGGATCAGGGACTGGTGTTGGGGCACAAATTCCACACTCCAAAATATTCTGTAGGCTGTATTGCCTCAAAGGGGGGTAACTCCATATTAATGGTCATGGTCTTGGAATGGGATGTCCAGCAAGCTCATATACAGGTGAAACTCGAAAAATTAGAATATCGTGCAAAAGTTCATTTATTTCACTAATGCAACTTAGCCGTCTACCAGGAGATTTTGGAGCACTTCATGCTTTCTTCCGCAGACGAGCTCTATGAGGATGCTGACTTCATTTTCCAGCCGGACTTGGCACCTGCCCACACTGCCAAAAATTTTCTGAGATTGTGGATTTGGGGTTTTCATGAGCTGTAAGCCATAATCATCACAATGATGACAAATCACGGCTTGAACTCTCTTGCTTTGCATGTAATGAGTCTCATATATTAGTTTCACCTTTTAAGTTGCATTAGTGAAATAAATGAACTTTTGCACGATATTCTAATTTTTCTAGTTTCACCTGTAGGTGTGATGTCAGATGCTCACAAACCTTTGGTCTTCTAGTGTATGTACTCTGCCTAGGTCCAACACAGCAGACACCTGCAGAAAGGGGATTGAAGCTTACATAGGGCTTTTTTTTTTTTTACTTGAGTCTGGCAGCAAATCAATCAGTGGAGAAGTAAAAGGAAGGTGAGTATAAGCCAGCCTGGGGACCACCATTGACATTAATCTGTTGCCTTGCCAGAATGAGGTCAAGGTAGTCTTCTAAAGGGTATGTAAACCATAACGATGAACTTTCCTTTTTCGCTCCCTTTTGGTCAAATATACTACGGAAAGCGCTTTGTTATTTCTGTTTAATAAGGTCAAAGCAATACCAGTTGACCCTTCCAGGAACCTTGTAAGCTGATAACTTCCTGTACTCTCTGCCTGTGCGTGACTCTTATCAACTTAATTCTTCTCAGCTGTCTATAGAAGAGAGAGATGATTCGGGTAAGGGAAACATAAAGGGTTATTGTACACTTTGTAGCTTGGTGAAATTTAGGGGGGCCTCCAATTTCCACTGGGAAAGTGATTGCCACCATGGTTTTAGGACAGAGAACTAATATACCATGCACCGTTGTGGCAATTGAGAACAGGTTTGTAAAAGGATGGGTTAGCCTTTACTGCCACAAGTTTGTTACAAGTCTGTTCTGTATCTGAGATATGCTCACCAAATGTTGCTTATGTTACATTCATTTCCTTCTTCCTTTTCTGTTCCATGTGATTCCCCTCTGGGAATTAATACCAGTTGTGTCCTTAATAAACTTGCACATATCAGCCTGGCTTTTGGGAGATGATCAAATTCGGCTGGATTCAGTACGTCAGCGTCCTGCTCATCTTCCTCTGGGTCTTTGAGAGGGTGAAAATCTTCGTCTTTCAGAACCAGGTGCTCACTACAGTCCAATCTTCACCAGCATCCTTATTCAAGCAGCACCAGAGCTAGATCCTTAGAAGCTGGCACACATTAACGGTGCTTCTCGGTAATTGTCTACATAGGACCTGATTTTGGTGAAAGGACCACTATGCCTCAGACGGAAAAAGATTTGTTATATACATTGCGTGAAAGCGCCAAACCAGAATCGGGAGCAGACAGAAAGCAGGCACCTAAAAGTATCCTTGAGTGTTTTCATATATTGCACAGAAAGCCACAGCACTTGAATATGCAAATGCTGATCTCTGATAGCTGGCTTGCCCCCTAATTTTTAAGTGTGCTTACTGGCCTGTCCCTTAGTTTCAAAGTCCAAGGGCTGTACTGCCTCTGAGTACTGGCCTGTCCCTAACTTCTGAAGGCAGTGTACTGGCCTGCCCCCAAGGTTTCGGAGCCCTGCCCCCAAGGTTTCGAAGGCCAGAACTGGCCTGCACCGAAGGTTTCGAAGGCCAGAACTGGCCTGCCCCCAAGATTTTGGAAGCCGAGAGCTGGCCTGCCCCCAAGGTTTTGGAAGCCGAGAGCTGGCCTGCCCCCAAGGTTTTGGAAGCCGAGAGCTGGCCTGCCCCCAAGGTTTTGGAAGCCGAGAGCTGGCCTGCCCCCAAGGTTTTCGAAGCCGAGAGCTGGCCTGCCCCCAAGGTTTTCGAAGCCCAGAGCTGGCATGCTCCCTAAGTATCCAAGTCCAAAATCTGGGCTGCCCCCTTCCACCTCCTGCACCCTACTATTGTCAGTGAAGCTAGGCATACATACTTATATAGCAAAACTTAATTTATGAAAATGACATCATTTGTGTATAGTGATGCTTTTTAAAGTCCCCTCAGTCATACAGCGGGGATATGACAATCCAGACTTTACCTGTGCAAAGCCATACGATATATTGGCAGCTACATATTCTATTTTTCTATATATTACAATATACTGGTGAGTTAAATGGTCCAGAAGTTTCCATATACCTCAGACTCCAGAGGCGAGCTTTCCCCAGTGGAGTTCCTGGAAACCAAGGAAAGGAGCCTCATTCCTTCAATGAAAAGTTGGGAATTAAAGTGTATGTGAAGTCCAAACTTTTTCCTGTTTAAATAGATTGCGGAAAAGTTAGAACCTTTTGGCAGATTTCCATTATCTGTATATGTCCCCACTGGGGAGATTCACCCTCACTGTGGGCCCTTTGTCTTTGGTATAGCAACTGATGGGAACTCCACAATTTTACAATTGTCACAGGAACAGGAGATGAGGGGAAATCTTTTAATGCAGACCCCCTGAGGACAACTGCCTACTTCCTGCTATGTTTCTGGGACAGGAAGTGAAGAGAAATCTCCCACATGGGACAGACATGGGGTCTTAACCATTCCCTACTCTATTGTAAACTTTAAAAAAAATAAAGGCTTCCTACACTTAAAAAAATGAAGACATCTGTCACTGTAGACTTCCATCGATGACCTCAAAGTGCCCACTTACTGGCTGTATGCGTTTATTCTAATAATGTATTATTAACTTGTCACCATGTCATCCAGGCAACTAGCTTTTCGAAAATGCTAGTTGCCTGGATGACATGGTGAGACTGTGGTGATAAGTTAACTGTGGCCCCTGGCATCACCAAAATTATATATTCCATGTGTCTAAGACTGTCGGAGACTATGGAAATCCTATGGGAGATTTTCGGAGACTGGATGTGCCTCAAGTGTGGTTAGAGACATGCTGCAGTTGACAGACACTGGGGATATGTTCAATGAGACTTAGCCCTTTGGGCCTCATTCCAACGGGCCAATATGCGTCTAGATTTGGAGTATTCCTGTGGCTGGGTTCACCGGTGGTTGTGGACAGCTGCAGCCGCTCATCCAATACTATGACAGGCTTACTGGTCGCAGCTTTCCATAACTGGGGACAGATGCATGTTCCTGCAGAAGAATGCTACCGCACTCCTTACTGGTATGTCTCTTGTGGTGGGTGCTGTAGTGACTGCGGATGGCGCCGCTTCAGATCCAAATAGTAAAGTATGTCACCAGCACACTATGGTTCAGTCTTCAAGCAGTGATCATTTTATTGATGCACGTCTGATGAAGGGACCCTGAGTGGCCCCTGAAACGTTGCAATGTGACAAGAAGTGTATGCATCAATAAAATGATCCCTGCTTGAAGATTGAACCGTGATGTGCTGGTGGCACACTGTACTATTCAGATGCATGGTTCTGGACGCAAACCGTTTGCGTCCAGGGTCGCTCATCTGTCCTAACCGCATTTAACCACTGGCTGTGATGAGAAAAGCTGATTGATATGTAATAGGCCAAGGTATCTTGGCCGTGTTTGTGGGAGGAGTTGCGGCGGCTCTCCTCCCCTTAAGAAGGGTGACAGGGAGCTCCTCGTCACGTCACAGCGAGGTCGCGTCTGACCCTCCCGCCCTTCCCCAGGTTCTATCATTTCACTAGAGCGTGCCCCCTTATTTGGCACGCTGTCCACAAAATCATGGCACACATCAGGTTGGTATCAGTAGGGGTCATGAAGACTTCGGAAGCCTAAGTAACTCTGACCACAAATAAAGGCTGAGCATCCGCAGCTGTCCACAACCACCTGTGAACCCGGCCCCAGGAATACACTGATTCTTGCCCCTGTGAATGAGGCCTTACAAAGTCGAAGGGCAGCACGTGTCCCTTGAAACTCAGGTTTAGCATCAGCACCTTAACCAGCGCCCTCTGATCCCCAGGGCTGCTGATAAACACAATTGTTAGCGTCGTCTCCACGGCCTTCCTTCAACGTTTGAACCCCCGAGCGTTTTGTCACTTTGCATTTTGAACAAGTATGAGCGCCGGGAGATATTTTTTCGAAATTGTGCTGCCATGATTACAGCACGCCGTACTTTCCCACTAGTTCTGAGACACTGAAGTGACGCCATCAAGATTGACAGATATGTCTGTTATGCATCGTACTGACAGGTCCTGGAACACAAGGGTCACACCTTGCCCCTCGGTTATGGAAAGCTTTGTGAAACGAGTTTGTCTCTCTTACCTAATATTTCTTTCCTTTCATTTTATTAAGCAAAAACAAACAATCTGCTTTTTTTCAGCTCTGTAAATTATGAATGATTTCTAATGAAATATTTTCAAATACTTTTGTAACTTTTTAAATAAAAAATGTAAATCCAACTTCGATGTGATTGTGTCATGCCTAAAGCCGGATAACAGTGCTGCTGAACATTATCAGGGTTATTCACAGGAGGGTGAAGAGTTTGGAGCAGGCCGGAGAAGTGAACAATCTAGGGCAAACATAGCTGATTTGGAAAAATTCTCCATTTCAGTTCACTTTCCAAATCACCTAGATTGTTCACTTCTCCTGCCTTCTCCAAACTCTTCACCCTTTTTGTGATTAGCCCTGTACGAAATAATGTAGATTTGGGATTCCTGCAGCAGGAATCCCAGGTGTCCTGTTTAAATGCGGCCGATGTACCCGCTTAAGTTGACCGGGTAACAGTGGCTACATCTGTAAGTGGCATCCCTCCTGCATCTGGCAACAGTGCTCTATTCCAAACCGCATGTAATCTTATCACATGCACGTACATGCGGACTGCCACTTACAGATGCCTCGGCTGCCACCCGGTCATTAACGGCCGCACTTAACGTGGGACATCTGGGACTCCTGCCTGTCCCAAATTGCCCAGTATGAATGAGGCCTTTTGGCCCATTCACATTTGTGCTTTGCTAAGACTAGGGATGCACCGATACTAGTACCAGTGCCGAGTATTTGGGCGAGTACTCGTACTCGCCCAAATGCTCCGATGCCTAGCCCGATACCCGAGCTTCTGGTATCGGGAAGCTCGTCAGCGAGTCATTACACCCTGCTCGGCTTCCTGATTGTCCAGAAAGCCGGCTCCATGCTTTCTCTTCATCGAGTGACTAAAAGCATGGAGACGGCTTCCCTGCTAATTGGGAAGCCGTGTGGCGAGTCTTTACACGCCGCCTGGCTTCCTTACTGAGACTTTCGGTATCAGCGAGTGCCTGGAAAAAAAATATCGATACCCAATACCGAAAAAACGCTATTGGTGCATCCCTAGCTAAAACATGGTAATGCACATTGCCACAATGCATGGCAACGCAGCTGCTCTATGTGTGGTGTGTTGCAGTTGTTAAGCGAATGCGCCGTTTCCTTTTCACATCCATGTTGCTCTCTGCAAAGTAATCAGCAGTGGTGGATAATCGGTCATTTTGGTGCCCTCTTCGAACTTCAGCCCAATTTTTTTTTTATGAGATGGAAAAGGTTAGAACCTCCAGCAGTTTGTTTTTTGCTGACTTAGGCAACCTCGGTACTCTGTTGTGGAACTACAAGCCCCATGCTGCATTGCAAGATTCCGACAGCCACCAGCATGACTCCCAGAGACAGAAGCACGATGGGATTTTGAATTCCAGCACAGCTGCAGTGTCGCGGTTGCCTTCCCCTGACTTGGGGGCTTGTGTTTGCTTCAAGCGTGTTGTATAATGCTGGTCACAGACCTTGCAACCATCGCAAGACTTATGTCCTTATGATAATCGTACGATCGCGGGATTTCCCGCGATTATAGTACGATTATCGCAAGGTGTGTGGGCAACTTAAGTCTATAGGAATGCAAAAGCCATTTGAAGCAGGTCAGAAGGAGGTCATCTGCAAGTCAAAATCAACACAGACCGCTACAGAGATTCCTTGCCTAGTGACCACACAAGCCACCCCGGAAAGGACAGGAAGTGAGGTAGAATCTCTCCACCAAGGACACAGCAGTAAAAACCTTGCAGTGTTTCTAACCCTTCTCTGCTCTATCTGCAACTGAAGACACTAATTTGATTGGAGTTTGCATTTTTTTGACCGGGCACAAAGCTGCCTTGAGCTAACAGCTCCGATCTCTAAAGATACCTATCCAGTTTATGAATGGACACTAATGGGCCATCAGATGGTCGCTATTTGCATACATTTTTTAGGATTGTTGCGGACATGTAGGGGGGACAAATGAAATTATAAATAAGCAATGCTTTAATATATACTTTTCCTTCAATGAAGCACTCGCTTGATCTCTGATCTTGACTGATGGGTTATATTACCACCTGCAGGAGTAGGATGCTTATGAGGGGGTCAGCTGTCAATCAACCTTCCAGTTCGGGGCTTGAGAATCAAGTAT